AAGACGGCCCGACACGCCTCCAAGACGGCCCAGGAGGCCCCCAATATTGCCCCAAGACAGCCCAGGAGAGCCCCAAATTGCCCAGGAGGCCTCCAAGAGTGCCTCGAAACGGCGCAAGAGGAGCCCTGGACGGCCCAAGACGGCGTCAAGAGAGCCCCAGGCTGTCCCAAGAAAGCCTCTGGCCTCCTCCTCTTCCTCCTCCTCCTCCTTCCTCCTCCTCCTCCTCCTCCTCCTCCTCCTCCTCCTCCTTCCTCCTCCTCCTCCTCCTCCTCCTCCTCCTCCTCCTCCTCCTCCTCCTCCTCCTCCTCCTCCTCCTCCTCATCCTCCTCCTCCTCTCCCCCCCTCTGCTCCCCCTCCTCCTGCTCTCCTCTGCCTCCTTCTCCTCCTCTTGCTTCTCCTCCACATCCTTCTCCCCCCTCCTCCTGCCTCATCCAACCCTTCCACCCTTCCTCCACCTCCCACTCAGCCCCCTCCCCCTGCCCCCCCCCTTCGTTTTCCTCTTCGTCGTTCTCGGGGTCGGCGGCACCGGCAGGAAGGCCTTCGCAACAAGATCAACATCACAGCGACACCATCATCTTCTCAGTTTTTTTTGCAATCCTTTGTTTTGTTCTGTTTTTGCAATCTTTTTTGTATATTTGTTTTGGCAATCCTTTTTTTGCTATCAACATCAACATCACAACATGACCAACAAGACTCGCATCAACCTCAGAAGAGCACGCAGCACCAATCAGCATCATCCGCATCCCCCGCATGATCACCACGGCTCCCCCACCCTCGAGCAACCGCCACCCAGAATGCGGGGTTGGCACGGCGACGGGCTCTGCCGCAGGCAGCTGGAAGAACAGCCCCAGCCTGTCGGGCTGGAAAGGCAAAACATCGACCACAGGGGGCAAACAGACCTACCTCGCTTTTGACCACCCTCGCTTCCAAGAGATACCAAGCGGTGCCAAACTACGGCCTGCACTGGTCAGGCCGCTTGACGAGGAGGCGCGTGGTATGACTTGGTTTTGCCTGGAAGCGAAAGCGGGGTAGGTAATTCACGCTCTGAGACCATTCATCACTGGAGCCGCCGTCGACGCCAGCGGCGCCGACGTCGACGCGGGCGGCGCAGACAATGACAACGACGGCGGCGCCGGCAACGACACCGACGACGACGAAGACGACGACGACGACGACGACGACGACGAGAACGACACCGACACCGACGACGACGACGACGACGACGACGACGACGACGACGACGACACTGACGACGACGACACCGACGACGACGACGACGACGACGACGACGACGACGACACCGACGACGACGACGACGACGACGACGACGACGACGACGACACCGACGACGACGACGACACCGACGTCGATGACGACGACGACGACGACGACGACGACGACGACGACGACGACGACGACGACGACGACGGCGACCACCGTGACGGCGGCTGCCCTGGGCGGCAGGCGGCGGCGGCGGCAGCGGCCGCGGGGGGGTCCGCCGTCAGCGGCGCCAGGCCCGCGGGCAGCGGCGGCCGTGCCGGGAGCTGCGCCGCCGCGGGCGCCTCAAAGCCTCCAGGCCCAGTGCCTCGCGGGGGAGGGAGAGACGCGTCAGCGATCGATGAGTCGGACCGGCGATCGAACTGAGTCGGATCGGCGGAAATCGGCAGCCGAGTCGAGAAGCATCGGGTCGGCGGAAGTCGGCAGGCTGGTAGGCCTCCGTTGAGAGATCGGAGCCCAAAGTGGAGCCCAGAGTCGAATCGAATCGGAATCGGAGACCATCGAAGTCGAATCGAACCGAATCGAAGGAATCAAAACGAGCCCTGACCCATTGACTGTGATCCATTGGGTAGATTCCCGCATGTACGCGGCGTTCCTTCCTCCTGCGAGCGCCTCCGTTGTGTAGGCTCCAGGGGCCTTCGCAGCTTGAGAGGCCGCGCGGGTGGCGCCCATGGGCGCTGCCCTTGGGGTGCGCGGGTGCCTGTAGGCAGAGGGGGCCTGCAGGCGAGCCTGTAGGCGTGCCTGTAGGCAGGGGAGGAGGGGGACGGAGTGCCTACAGGCAGAGACGCAGCTTTTCTTCCACCTCCAGCAAGTTTGATTGCTTAGAGGGGAGACGGGAAAGGGGCGTGGCGGGGCCCTTGATCGCATGGAGGGGAGACGGGAAAGGGGCGTGGCGAGGCCCGAGTGCAAATTAGGCCTTCGCTCACGTCGGCACTCGCTTGCACGCTTTTTCGGCCCAACGCTGTCTGAAGAGGCGGCGGATGGGGGGGGAAAGGAGGGGGCACCATGCAAGCGAACTTGCCTGAGTCGAAAGTAAAGCTTCCTCTGATCGCTTCTTGGACACGTCCGCTGCAGGCTCCCCTTTGCGGCCGCCTCGTCTTCCCCTGCTCCCCCTCCCCGCCGGTCGCGCGATGCGTCGCCCTGCTGCGGCCCAGTTTTGGGCCCCGGAAGTGCCTGCGCAATCGCCAGCGCCGCGACCGAAAAAATGTTGGGCGCGCTCTGGCCCTTTCAGGCCTCCGGTGGCCTCCTGGGGCCCCTGCCCCACGGATGGCCCCACGCGTGAGCCTCGTTTAACCGACCCCCATCCCCACCAGCGTGGGCTGGGCCCAACTGGCCGAGTTACCCCTCTGGATGGGGATATAAGCTGCTCCCTTCGGGTTTCGACGGGCAGATCCCCAACTGAAGTGGTGAGGCGGCGGGGCTCGAGATGTGGATGGGGATGGGGATAGGGATCGGTCAAACGATACTGACGGCGAGCGCCAGGAGAAGAAGCAGCAGGGGCTCCAGGATTGCGCCGTGAGTGCCCTGGCACGGGAGGAGCCCAGGCGACGTCAGGGAAGGCCTGAGGGCCCCGGAGAAGCACACAGGAAAAGGCCAAGGAGTTTCCACGAAGGCCAACTGAAGGCCAGTAAGTTTCAGGATGCCACAGGGGCCAGAAGGCCTCGGAGAAACAGAAGGTTCCACAAAGGCCAGAGGGCCTCAGAGAAACAGAAGGTTTCATGAAGCAAACGCGAGCCCCAAACAGTGCGCTCTAGCAGTGTTTGGGGCTCGCGTTTGCGGTGATGATGAAGTTGATGTCGCTGGTGATGAAGCTGTTGGTCATGATGATGCTGCTGATGATGATGATGGTGGTGATGATGATGATGATGATGATGATGGGGATGCTGACGATGATGCTGATGATGATGCTGATGATGATGCTGAAGACGCTGCTGAAGACGATGATGCTGCTGATGCTGAGGGGGGATGGTGAGGAGAAAAGCGATGAGAAGAGTAGAGGGAGGATGGGGTTTGAGAGGAATGGAGTAACGTGAAGAAGTGGGAGAATAAGCAACGAGGTGGAGGGGAGGGGGGGGGAGAACCACGGAGGGTGGAAGGGGAAGCAGGAGAAGGGAGATTAATTGGGAGGATGATTGAAAGGGAGGTTGGTCGGAGAACGGGGGCTGTGGCTGGAGCCCGTGCAGGAAAACAAACATTCACCAGAAAGTGGTCCGATTGCGTTCGGTCGTTACGATTCCAGGCGGCCCCTGGCAAGCGTGCACGAAAACAATCGAAACTACCCAAAAAAGGTCAACAGCCTAAAGAAAAACCTCTCGGAGCCCAAACTGGCGATCGTCACGTATTGAAAAAACCTCGAGGGCGAGGGGGGGGTAGATAGGCAGGACAGGATGAGGATGCGGAGCATTGGCGAGGGCGCGGGGGGGATGGAGGGAGCAACTGATACGGAGGATGGGCCGTGGCCGTGGGCGGGGGGGGGGAGGGCAGTATCGGGGGGCGTCGACCCCGCGCAGGCCGCGGGGGTGCGCGCCTCCCCCAAGAGGGAGCAACCCGAGGCCAGGCAGCGTCTGGCCCGCAACCGGCGGCCCCAGCAGCGACTTGGCCTTCGTGAAGCTCGCCTTTCGGGCAGGGGTGGTGCCGACGACGGTGAGGATGGTGGTGACGGTGGTGCTTTCATTCGCTCCCCTTGTGAGCTCCGCGGCAAGCAACAAGCGAAGGCAGTTAGGTAGCTGAAACCTGGAGCTCGGGTCAGTTGGCACCCACCCTCCATCGGCAAAACAACACGGCGTTTTAGCTCACCACGCGGGCATGTACACGCGAGAGAAAATTGCACGACATGGCGCTGCCCCCAACAGCGATGACGACGACGACGACGGCCACGACGACGATGATGATGATGATGATGCTTCTGATGATGTTGATGACGGTGGCGATACAGTAATGATGGCGATCAGGATGGCGCTGATAATGGCGGTGATGATTTGATGGAAATGGCAACGACGACAACGGCGACGCACGATGATGATGAGCATGACGGTGGAGATGGTGATGCTTCTGCCGACGCTGATGACGATGACGATGTCGAGCGATGATGGCTGATGATGATGCTGATGTTTTCACAGACCCGGGGCTAAGCGGGAAGAGCGGTTCGGGGGTAAGGGGGAAAGCCCTCTGCCCGCGGCGAGCGCGTTCTAGAGCCGCTGTGCTCTACGCGCACGCGCAGGGGCGGGTCACTCCGCCTCGCACAGCAGCGATCGGCGGGGCGCGCCTCCGCCGATCAACTATCGGCGAGCTCGAAATCAGGGCAAGTCGGGAAGGCGAGCCTCGCGAATGAAGGCGTATCCATCTTCCCAAAGGCGCCCGTATTCGTCGCGCAGTACGTGGCGTCCGCATCCACACGGGGATAAGCCGCATTCTTCACAATGGGCCCGCGCTCAAGGTTCGAAGTGGCTATGACAACGGCAGTCCCGGTAGTGTACTTATTGACCATGTGGGCTGTACCCGCAAAAGGCGGCGGCGCGCAGGTCGATGAAGAGAACGCTCACATCCACAATAAGCGCAGGCTTCTCGTTGGCTGCTGAGAAGTGGTCCCCGTTGTGAGCTGTGTCCGCCAGGGCAGTGGAGGTAGAAAGAAAGCCGTTGAAGAGAACATCGTCATCCACAGAGCTAGCGTACTTCACAGCGCCCGCAACCTCAAGAATCGAAGTCGCTATGGCTATCACAATGGAGTTAGCGAAATTGTTGACAATGAGCGCGGCACATCAACGAAATGCCCCACACTGTTACTCTGTTGCAAGCGCAAGCGTCGGCGATGGCGTCGCAAATCCGCGGCAGCGAACACCTATTCGAATAAGACGGAATGCGCCCAAACCGCTGCAGACGAATAAAACGAAATACGCCGCATGCGAATCCAGTGGCAACGAACACCTACCAAGTTTAGGACCTCGCGGTCCTCGGGCGGTAGGTCCCTGAGCTTTCTAGCAATCACTGCACATGGCCCTCAAGCCCGTCCGTCCATTCCTGAAGATTTTCCTCCATGTAGCCTGGCGGTGCCGCTCCGCGTAGGTGACGTCCTCCCAATTGGCGAAGCCCGCCCAGCAGTGGAGACCGCCTGTCTCCCAGGGACTGGATACCCAGAATCAGCTTCACCTGGTCGTCCTGCGCCGTCTTCGCGATCCTGCCAACCCTGATCGGCTGCTCCGCGTCCTCTGGCTTCTCGCAGGCGTTGAAGTCCTCCACGAGCTTCTTGATGGCCGTCATGTTGGTGCCGACTACCTCGGGAATGGTTGCCGGCGCGTCCAACATCGCCCCGAAACGGAGCGTGTTGGGTGGCCCGAACGGCTGCGTTTCGGGGTTGTTATCGTTGTCCTTGCGGTATTGGTCGACCCGTTCTGCGAAATTCCCCGGCTCTTCCTAGGTCGCCATGATGACCTTGTGGTTCTTCGGGAAGGTGAAAGTGTCGAGCGGCGCGCCGTCGATCGTCCTGACCTTCTGCGTGTTGTTGAGCACTTGCTTGAGGAGAAACAACAGTAACTCGCGTAGACCTGTGTCCTTCACCTGGAGTTCCTTGTCCTTCCCTTTGCCCTGGTTGCGCCGCTTGCCCCCGCGTGTGGTCCTCGGAGTCCTCGGCTGACCCGCCGCTGTAGCCGCTGCGCCCCGCTTGTTTCGTTCTGCGACGGAGCAAGAATTGCCAGATGCTGGCGAGGATGCCTGGAGGCGCCACGCTGCCCTCATCTTCTGTGCGAGTCGTAGCGGATACCTGAGTCCGTGGTCTGGCCGAACGGGTTCCGCACGAAGCGGAAGATGATGGCGCTGATAGCGACCAGACCCCGGCAAAACAGGCTCGCCCACGAGGCCCTGCACGGGCCCAGCCGCCGGCGGGAGTAGCAGGCGGGACCTTGGCGTTCTGTACCGCGGAGGGGCACCGCGGAGGGGCTGGCGCTGCCTGGGCTGGCGGGGTCTCTTAAGAGGACCCTGACATCCCCAGGACGAGCAGGCTCGACAGTGAGCCTGGCGAGGCGGAGCGCCGCAGCCGCTCGACGCGGGACCCTGAGACATTTGACGGATCTCAGGGAGGTGGCTGCGTGGCGTGACCCAGGAGAGGACGACGCGCACCCCTCGCCACCCGGGTGCACACAGGATGAAGAAGTCTCACTGGACATGGGAGAGACTGATGTCGTCGGCCTCGGCGACCATCTCTCCGTTCACGATCTCCTGCCACGCGCACGTCGGCCACGCAAAGCCACTGGCCATGCACGTCAGCGCAAGGGGCACGTCGATCATGACTTCTGTCTTGTTGTCCATTGTCCGAGGCACATATGAGCGCCCAGCCCAACCGACCCAGCCAGTGCTGTATATGAGCGCCAGCGAAGACGGGACGATGCTCGCGCGGACGAATTCGCCAGAAGCAACGGTGCGCGGGACGCCGTCCTTCTCGCCAAGGAGATGCGATCGCCCTACGCCTCCGCCCGTCTGAGGAGGCCTGCCTTCCTCTTCAACAGGCGGCTGTCGACGGCGGAGTCCGGGAGGGTACCTCTTAAGTTTCGCGTCGACCTTGCATGGCTAGTCCTTCCCTTGCCATCGCTCGGACGTCCATTCTCCGTTCGGATTTCGGCTTAGTGCGTGCTTCTTTTGCCAGGTGGTCCAGGATGCTCCTCGATGGTCCTCTCCGAGAGCAAAATTCACACGCCCAAGCGATACGAAGCTCCACCTCTTGGCCTACTTCTGGCCGCCTCTGCACGGCTTCGGGAACCTCGCGTCCTGGATCGTGCGCCCGTCCAGCGTGGGCATCGCCGCCTTGGCGCCCCGCTCCAGCGCCCCGGCAGGCGACAAGCATGCTCACGCCGGCACCACCGCAGGCAGGCAGGCCACGCCGCCGAGCCACCGCCAAGCGGGCCAAGCCGACCACGCCCCACGAGCTCCAGGGCCTCGGCTTAGATTGGGCATGTCCTCCTACAGGCGGATTTCGAAGAAAAGTCAAAAAGTAGTATCAAAAATGCGAAAATGCTCAAACATAGTAGATCGCCCCCAGACTACTTCGTTCTTGTTTTTTTTTCAAAAATCTTCCGTACTGCCCCCGCCAAGCAGGCCATGCCGCCGAGCCACCTCGGCGGCGGGACTTTCGCCTCGGCTCCTAGCAGCGGAGCCGAGACCGGCCACGGCTGCGGGGAGCGCGGCTGCTGATTCGAAGCCAGGGCGAGGATAAGCCTGAGATCCTGGCGTTGC